AAAAAAAAAAAAATTTAATGAAACTTGCTACAGTCTGGGCCTGCCTGGAATACACAGTGAAGGATCTGTTCAGGTCTCAGGCTCTGATGTAAGGTATATTTGTTCTCCTAATGTGATGCAAGAAATACCCTGTTAGATCACACAGCTGGACTGTATGTAACAGGAGCTTAACCATGTGTGCTCCTGTATTCACTGGTCAGAAGACAGATTAAGTAGTATATGCTGAGTTTACAGATGTTAATGGAGTTGGTACCTACAAATACATTTCTTCAAAACTGTAATGTTGCATTTGGAGGGAGTTAAGGATTCCGGCTTTAAAGTACAAACTGAGTCCTTCTAAGGAACTGACAGCGCAGCTTTCTGTAATCTTGGCCCAGTACAACTTTGCTACTGGACTCTATGGGCTTGTTTTATTTTTTAGCAGAGCACATTCTATAGTCTTAGAATATGCTCTTTTAGGTAGTTGAAAACATTTGAAATATAGTGACCTTTATGTGTAACTGTATTCTTTTTTCTGCAAAAGGGAATAATAAGAGATGTGTTTTGTCTTTAGGTGGATAGTCATTCGGGAGGACAAAAAAGGCCTGCTGCAAAACAACTAACTAAAGGAGCTTTGTGAGTTATCTTTGGAAATGACCAGTCCATTTTGAACATTTCTCTAGGTCTCTAATCTTCAATAAATATACTATAGAAGTCAGGTTATAATTATGAGTACATAGTGAGGCAGAAAACTCATTTAATGAAAAAAATAATGACTATATTAGCCTTTTTAAAACGTACTTTGGAAATCTTTTTCTATAGTTTGTTTTCATTAGGATCTATAAATAAATGTAGTTTGAGCCTACTGTTTGCTCTTTTCTTCTTAAGGAGAAAAGTTCTTTGTCTTTTTAGAGACAAAGAGTCTCTGAGGAGAAGTATGATTTGATAAACTTCTGTGTTTAGAACAGAAATATTAGCATAAGCCTAGTTGACCAATGGTCAAGCATGGCCAAGGTCAGTGGGGGTACCAACACATGAATGGTTGGTGGGAACACTGTGCTTTTGAGGTTAGGGTCACAGTTCGAGTACCTTGTAGAGATGGTTAGACCAAATTCCAAACCCACCAGGGTATATAAAATAAAACTGAAGAACAAAACTGCTGTACTACAATTAATAACATCCCTGTATGTCTTATTTTCTTTGCATGCAAATAAACATCATGATTAGATTTGATTTCCTGACATGACTCTACATTGACATTGGCCATTTTCCTTTGAAAGCATTCTCCAGCAGTTACAGAGGGACCAAGCCCACACTGTGACACCCGACAAAAGTCAGTTCCAATCACTAAGCGATGCGGTGCAGAGACTGCTCTCCTACCACGTGTGCCAGGGCTCCATGCCCACTGAAGAAGACTTGAGGAAAGGTAAGCAGGCACCAGCCCTAGAGTGTCACTCTGCCACCAGGCACCCTCCCATGGCCACCCCCAGAAGAGCAAGAGCCACCTCACCCCCAGATGGTAGACAGGTTATTGTTTTTAATCACAGACCAAATTCATTCCCTATTTACCCAATTCCCAGTCCATGTTCAGGGATGTGACTTATTCTTCTCAATATTTTGTAAAGGGAAGCTGGGCATGGTGGTACGCGCCTATAGTCCCAGCTGCTCAGGAGGCTGAGGCAGGAGGATCACCTGTGCCCAGGAGTTTGAGGTTGCAGTGAGCTATGATCATGTCACTGCACTCTAGCCTGGGCAACAGAGTGAGACCTTGTCTCTAAGAAAATAAATATTTTGTGAAGGGGATACCCAATGTCAGAGTATTTTATTGACAAATTAGGGGGCAGTGAATCCAAAGCTTCGTTGGGACTGCTGGCTGCAGATGGAATGGCTCTAGACTAGGTCTACACAACAGTTTAGTATAGTCCTTGCCTTTAGGTAGAATGCATGCCCTGAGCTGATTATATCAGTTTTATGAATTAGATAGATACTTTACCTCCCAAAAGCATTCCCTGAAGTTCCAAAGTGAGCCCAGGGCATTGGTCAGACATCAAGAAATTGGCAAAAAGGTTAGGGATAAGAGCCCCTTCTCCCAGCCTAGAACTCAGCCCATCCTGCTGCCTGGCCCTGCTGCCTCCCCCAATTGTGTGACTTAGTTCTACCTCTCTTCCCCCAACGACCACCAAGCCCTGACTCCATCAGTGTCCCCCACTGCTTTAATCCCTCCCTCAGCCCTTGCCAGGCTTTCTCCTCCTAGCTAAGGTCCCTGACCTCAGAGCACGGTGGTTTCTGTTAGTCCACTCTGAGCTTCCCTGGGTTGTCCAGGGAATAGGGACAAGATGCAGCATTAAACAGGGGTGTGAAGACTCCAAGAAGAGTGAATTAGAAAATGTAGGATCTTTGAAGACTGACAGACAAAAGACAAAGCTACAGGACCATGACCTGCAAGGACTAGTTTGTGTCTTTACATTAAACTGGTCTGTCTAGACCAAACAGTTAGACTTCATTGTTTCAACTGTTTTTGGTTTTCAGACTATTGAAAGGGAGTGTAGGCTTAGGTCATCTAAACTAGCAAATCTTTCTCCATTAATTGATATTTATTGCTAGTCTGTTATATGGTTTTATAGGTGATGTTCAAAGGCATTATGTTTTTGGTTTCCTAATTGAAGTTAAAATGGGATGATATTATAATGAATTTCTGTGACCACGTACCAGTGGGCAGTGAGGGACAGCAGTGTAGAAGGGTGATGTTTAATCAAGGAAAAGCTAATCTGAGAAGAGAAAATTGCCATGGATAAACCATGTTTAATTGATGGAGGCATAATGCATTGCAGTCTTAAGAAATGAAAGACCTAGTAGGTGATTTACACCCTCTTACTATTTCTCTCTCTCTCTCTTTTTTTAAAGTGGACAATGAATTTGAAACAGTTGCCACTCAGCTCCTAAAAAGGACGCAAGCTATGCTTAACAAATACAGATGCCTTCTCCTAGAAGATGCCATGGTAAAAGTCATGCTACTGAGCATATTTGGTTTTTAAAACTCCACAGGTCACAGCTGCTAATCAGAGAGAAAAAGTTTAAGGAATTACATTTTCAGAACATAGTTTAAAAGGCACAGATATTTAAGATTATAGTAAAACTTACACTTACTATTACTACAAAAACAGCTAACATTTGCTATACTGTACTTGGTGGATCAGTACTCTTCTTATTTCACAAATTGGGAAAACTAGGGATTTGGTTTATATATATATAACTAGTAGGTTTGCAGTATCATCAAAGAGCTAGGATTCAGGCCAAGACGATCTGAGCCGCGGCCAGTGATGGTGGCTACAGCCTTTCGCCAACCCAGAGACGTGGGAGAAGGACTAGAGGCCCACCTGAAAAGACCAGCTGATGACAAATGTTAAAATTAGTTTTGTTTTTAATTGAGAGATCATGAACATACTGTCAAATTTACATTTAATTTTAAAGTCTACAATCTGATGTGTTTTACATTCACAAGGTTGTGCAACCATCACCGCCATCTAATTGCAGAACATTTTCATCACCCCAAATAGAAACTAAAATTAGTTTTGACGCATCGGTTAATTACAGAAAAGAGGAAGTTATCTCGGGAAATGATGGAGAGAACGAACTTATTCTGAGATTTTAGAAGCAGTTCTAAAATCATATGAGCTTTAACCAATAAATTGGTCTCTTACATGTCATTTTCAGTTTGAGATCAACTTTGAAAATGTACCTTGGGAGATTTGTTGAACTACATTATATACATATATGGTATAGGGTAAATCTATATGTGTGTGTACATATTTACTTAAAATTATGCCACCAAAGTCTATAATGGTTCTCATATTGACAAAAATTTCTGAAATAAAACTCTGAGACATCAGAAAAGATCAGGTCTATCGTTTGTGAGGAAAGGGCCACTTATTTGGTCAAATTATCTTATATCTGCCTTGAATTTTCATGTTAAATAAGACCCAGAAATATAACTTAAGATTCGATTGTTAACAGCAAGACTTTACTAAAAAGGAAAGCCTTAGTAAAAACATAATGAAGGCACAACGGAATATAAAGTAAAAAGTCATCCTCGTGAAAAGCGGGGGTAGAAAAAGGAAGGTACTGAAGAGTATAGTTGCTACGATTTGTGTGCAGAAATAAATAAAGAAGCATATATGTGCTTGTGTGTACCTGAACTATCTTAAACTGCTAGGCAGGCAGCCACCTCCAGGGAGAGGCACAGGGGGGCGGTGGTGGGTGCCCAGGGGAGGCAAAGAGAGGAGGCTTACTTTTCAGGTGCTTGTAGTGCCTTTTTAATTCCATACCTATGTATAAATTATCCTTTCCCAAAAAATATAATTTAAAAAAAATGCTCCCTATATGACTAGGACAAACATGACTACATAGGACATGACTAGAACCTAGACACCAAATTCTCGTTTCTGATTGCTTCATTTGTTGCAAAGACGCTGTGGGATGTTTGCACTTGATGAAAGGCATGATGCCTGGCCTCTCTCCTTTTCAGCGGATCAATCCCTCTGCTGAGATGGTTATGATCGATAGAATGTTCAACCAGGAGGAAAGAGCTTCCCTGTCCCGAGACAAGCGCCTGGCACTTGTAGACCCTGGTAAGAAATGTCAGAGTGAACGTGGGGAAGGGCTACTGCCATGGTTCAAGGACTGGGGGACCTTTGGCAGTCTATCTGAACTGAACTTTGGGTGAGAAACCTGAAGGTAGAACATGAATTCTGGGGAGAAAAAACTCAGAGTATATGATTACTCTGAGAACATCTGTATAAAATCAAACTGGAATTTTACATTCAGTTAAGTGATTCTTTTTCCTCATTGTAAACTTAAAATTCTCAATCTTTCTCTAGTTTTTGAGAACTACATTTAGTCAGAAGGCTTCCCAGAAGCAATTAAACCTCAGCATATTATTGAGTGTCCTGCTATGTGTAAGTCACAGTTAGCAGGAAACATCAGTGAAACATGGTCCCTGACCCCAAACCAGTAAATTGTAAAGCTCATTAAAGTACTTCTCTCTCATCCAACTACTTTCCTGCCACTTGCGTGCATTTTAAATTTGACCCATATTCTGCCCTTTAGAAAATTAGTTCTCTTGGCCAGGTAAGGTGGC